TGGAATTTGACGCGATCTGAGACTTTGACAGTGTGCTATGCTGTAAGTTACATTTTCTGTTTTGTTCTCACATCGCAAGAAAACCAGGAGGCAAGAGAGTTTATTATAAAAACCTTTTGCTAGTTTTCTGAAACAAAAACTACTTGGTTTTCTAAAGGAGTGGGGATGCTGGACGCTAAACTATTAAAGACCAAAATTGTGTAATTAATTTGATAAATGACTTGATATTTACTTCCCTTGCGTTCAATCAAGCGAATGACATAAGGATCCACCGCTCTTTTTGTTTTTTGTTTTTTTCTTTACAGGGAATTGTAGCATCTGCCCTGTGCTATGGGCTTTTGACATGGTCAAATAAGATTCTAGGCCCTGCCTTGGTTTCCTTGTATATGCCACTGCAACCTGTTTTCTCGGCCTTTCTCTCACAAATTTTTCTTCGAAGCCACATTTATTTGGGAAGGTTACACTTTTAAGAATCTCCTATTCATTTTTAGTTTTAGTGCTAATCTATTGAATTTATGCAATGTTGCCATGCACCTATGCTGTGCACGCCTGCTCCTCTATGTTCAATCAATAATTCGGTTTTAAAGAAACTAAAATCTTGCTATTTACACCGTCCAGTAATACTTACCATTACCAAACATGCACCTGTCATTTAAGATTTTGATGGTTTTTGGGCATCGACAATAACCCTTTATCACTTATCGTTCTGAACAGCATTTTGGGAGGACTTCTTATTATTGCTGGACTTTATTTGGTTACATGGGCATCTTATAGAGAAAAACAAACTGCCATGGGTATTCGTCATCATGCTGATCGGACATCTGAAGCACTTATTAATAAAGAATCGTCTCTCAGTTAGACCCCGAACCAGATGGGACACATTTTCTTGGGTCCTTTGACCTTGATCCTGTATTAGTTTGAACATTTCCCAAATGTTTTTCTCGTAAGTTTTACTGCAGTGACCTCAAATTTAAGTAAGAATTTCAATTATTATGTCGTATTAAGGCCTTGAAGTTTCTTCACTCTCTTCCAATTTTTGGAATATGATACCACGTTGTGCCCATCTTTGAAATGAGAGCATTATGTGCTGAGGGGCTAATAGGTGAGAATGTCAACTGGTATGAACCACGATAATGACGATGAAGGCAAAATAATAATTCCATTTAGGCCCTGTTTGGGAGGGATTTAGATTTTTTCTACAGTAAATCAATTCTCTTTTTAACCATACATTCTTCAATAAAATAATATTTTTCATCACATCAATAATTTTTTCTTCTTTTTGAATCACACATTTCACATCATATCACTATTCAAAATCAATTCTTCTCCAAAAAATCCCTCCCAAACAAGCTCTTAATTTCGGGTTTGTCTGTTTTAGGTGAATTGCTATATTAATTAGATGGAAAATGGGCCAATGATCACAACTTAGGGCCTTTTGCCCTTGAAGCACGTCGGATTTTGGACAGATTCCGTCGTTTAAAGTTTCAATTAAGCATTTTTGTCGTTTATGATAATTTTTGTTTTGGCAATATTTTAGTCAATATAAAGTTTTCTTGAATTTCTTTTTATTGAAATTCTTTTTGTGTGGATTTTTATCTTTTCTATAATCTTCCGCTGCATCACGTGATCACTTTTTGCTTGCAACCCCAAGCCTACTTTTCCTCGGGGAGCTTGACTACATTAATATCTCCTCAGTAAACTTAAAATAGTCGAGCTCCTCTTTGACGGACAACATCACTTGAACATGAGGGTGAACCTACTTTGATAGGGATTCTCAAAAATATGGCTTAAAAAGTAGTCTTTGGGATGGATTTTTTGGCCCGGTATTATACTTAAATTAATACTTTGCTAGTCGGTCCATCAGTGAACATCGACGGTCATTAGCCGTTGGTAACTCTGTCATAAATCTTCAATGGACACAAGTTTCTGTCCATAACTTTATTCACAGCACTGACTCGAAAAATATTTGACGATAAATTTCTGTGAATAAATTTAGTCACCAACAGAATTCGAGACTTGGTGGTGACGGACGAATATACTTTTGTTACAAATAAATCCAAATAGAACATCTCTTGGAAGGATATAAGTCGGTGGGGTATCCTTTATCCACTAAATATAGACATTAACTAGCAAACAACACAAGATATCATCAGGTAAACTTGAATTAGAAAATGATTCCAACAGAGAGAAGATCAAGTAAATATGGGCGGCATGGAGATAAAAATGACATCAAAATTAGACCAAAATCATCTCTTACAACGCTTTGAATCTTGTGTCTTACCAATTTAACGTTTGGCACATAGTACTATGAACATCAATTTCTTGCCAATGTTAATTGTCATCATTCCTACCCCCGTCCCTGTCCTTGATTTAGGGCAGGAATTCCTCGGGTGTGTGTGGGTGGTTACATTAAGAAAAATTATGCAAGTACAAAAAGAAATGACAGAATTTTTCCAAATTTTTGAATTTCTCTCACATAAGGAGGCGGGGCCCACGTGAATTAAATATTGTTAAAAACAATGAGACCCACGTATTGTGTGTTTTCGGTACAATTTATGTAAAAAATTCGCTGTACCCATAGTGATTGTTACATTAATCATCCACGTTAGGCAATCTGTCCACAAGTATGCCCTTATTTAACATCTTCTGTCTCGCTTCATTTGTACCAAAGTTCATCAATCCTGAAGAATTTGGTGCCAAAAATTAAAAACTGTTATGGATACACTTGCTACTTTCCTTCCAAAATTTCCTTTAAATTTCAATGCCAAATCTTCTTCACCGCAAAAAAAAGCTAAACTCAAAGTTTCATTAGTTAGCATTGAAGAAAAACATGAAACATCAATCACCACAAACACTTCCTCTGCAAGAACAACATTGCACAAGTTGGTAGAACTAACTAAAAAGCGCAGCCCGGAAAAACCCTCCAACCAAGAACAAGAACAAGTAGATAAGAAAACAAAGCGATCATTACTTGAAAACATCTTCAAGGCTTTTGATGTTTTCATATCTGCTTTCCTCGACTTGCCTCTTCGCCCCTCCCTCGATCCAAAACGTGTTCTCTCAGGAAACTTTGCACCGGTAGACGAGCTTCCACCGACTCCATGCGAGGTGGTGGAAGGAGCCCTTCCAAGTTGCCTAGATGGTGCATACATACGCAATGGCCCCAACCCTCAGTTTGTTCCTCGTGGCCCTTACCATCTCTTTGATGGAGATGGGATGCTTCACTTGATTAGAATCTCGCAAGGCAAAGCGACGTTGTGTAGTCGCTATGTGAAGACATATAAATACATAGTGGAGCACGATAATGGTTCCCCCATTTTCCCTAGTGTCTTCTCCTCCTTCAACGGCTTCCCTGCTTCCATGGCGCGTTGGGGGCTAACCATAGCGCGAGTGCTAGCTGGACAGTTCAGTCCTTTGATCAATGGCTTTGGCTTAGCAAACAAAAGCGTAACTCTTTTTGGAGGATGCATCTTTGCTCTAGGCGAATCCGATCTTCCCTATGCGATAAAGTTAACACCCAATGGAGATATAATCACTCTAGGCCGCCATGCCTTTGACAGTAAGCCATTCTTGAATATGACAGCACATCCCAAAATTGAACCAAACACCGGTGAAACCTTTGCTTTTGGGTACGACATATTCCCTCCGTTCTTAAACTATTTCATAATCAACAACGAAGGAATGAAACAAGAGGACATTCCTATCCACTCCTTGACACATTCATCATTTATCCATGATTTTGCTGTCACAAAAAACTATGCTATATTTCCTGATATACAAATTGTGATTCACCCTATGGATATCTTCAGAGGAAGATCACCAGTCGGAGTCGATCCAGCCAAAATCCCAAGGCTCGGGATCATCCCTCGATATGCAAAGGATGAAACAGACATGTTTTGGATTGAAGTGCCTGGATTCAACATGCTACATGCAGTTAATGCATGGGAAAAAGATGACGGGGAAGAAATAGTCATTGTGGCTTCTAACATATTGTCTGTTGAGCATGCATTGGATTGCATGGATTTGATCCATTTATCACTGGAAAAAATTGAAATCAAAGTGAAGGAAAAGAAGGTATTGAGGCAACCTGTTTCAGCCCAAAGTCTTGATTTTGGAGTGATCAATCCAGCTTATATTGGAAAGAACATGTACGTATGCATACCCACAAACACATATATTTATGTACGTTAAACTTTAAAAATGAACAAGTTGGTCATCCCAATACATATGGTCATAATTGCATGGTGAGTGAAGCCTCCAAATTTCTTTGAATTGTCACGTGACTCTCATGAAAACGTACTCCAGATTTTTGGTATCGGCTCAAGTTGAGTACCAAAACGCAACTTCAAGAAATTGCTTGCTTAATATTTATTTCTATAAAAATATAGGCGTTTAGCATGGAGTATTACAATTTACGAGATTTTATTTTATTTTTTCGTACTATTAATAATCATTTTATTGAATAAGCTAAAAATACATAAATAAACTACACAAGGAACGACTAACGATACATCAATGTTCATTTCCTTGATATACAGGTATGTCTATGCAGCAGTGACAGCTCCAATGCCTAAGATAGCAGGAGTGGTAAAGCTAGACCTTTCACTACTCGAGTTGAACCACGGCAGCAATTGCATGGTGGCTAGCCGATTATATGGCCAGGGTTGCTATGGAGGCGAACCATTCTTTGTATCAAGGGAGCCCAATAATCCAGAAGCCGAGGAGGACGATAGTTATTTAGTGACCTACGTACACAACGAGAACACTGAAGAATCTAGATTCTTGGTTATGAATGCCAAGTCCCCCGACCTTGAAATTGTGGCGAATGTTAAGCTCCCCGGAAGGGTGCCTTATGGATTTCACGGATTCTTCGTGACCGAAAGTGACCTCATGAACAAACTGTGGAAGTTCTCCTAATCAGACTTGTATTTAATATTATCTCTTATAGTTGTACATTTACGACGATCTTCTTGTCAAATGGTGACTAGAAGTAAGGCTAGAAGTCAGAAATCTTTATTTTATAACTTTTACTCCTTTTTTCCCCATAAACGAAGGATAAAGGTTTATGTTTTATCTTATTACTTTGTTCTTCTCGCTATGTTTCTAATAAGAATAATATTATTTATCATGTAATATCGGTGACGTGACAATTTATGTAAAATAATGGAATTGGACAATTCAACTTTTATGAGCGAAAGAGGGGCAGGAAAGAAAAATGTGAGGGACAATGGGTTACAACATCACTAATCCATTATCATGACATAAATATAATTACTCGTCTAATAATGAACTCAAAGACACGGTTAACATGTGTGCATCTGTACGGGGATACAGAAGATTAACATGATCCCACATAAGGATGACCGATGACACAAGCTAATTAATATTACCATGATCCTTACGCAAAGATGACACACACGAATCAAGATTAACACGACCTTTATGCAAGGATGACATTCATAATTCGAGAAATAATGTCGCAGAGCTCAAAGCAGGTGACATTTGTCAAAGGTTCTAAGCAGAAACGGCACAATGTTTTCAGGAAGCAGTACCATACCGTAAAAGCCAAAAATGCACTCCATTTTAGATACAGAACACCTTTCTGGGACAGTCAGATCGACTGCGTCTTGCCTGCATGAAAACTCAACATGGCAAGAAACGTGACTATGCACTATCTTTGCCACCCTTCTATGCAGCATTCATGAACATCGAGTGAGTGTTTCGTATGCAGTTCCAAGAGTATAATGAACCAGAGTTTAGCTTTTTTTGGGAAAAGCAGGCATACCATTGTAATTTATACAAGACTACCAAAAAGAATATCAACAATCTGCTGCAATGCAAAAAAACTGAATAATCTGTTGATAGGAAATAAGCAATCCAACATTAACATGTCCCCCCTACATTACAAGCTGCCAGTCTATCAAAGGGTATCTAGTAATTTCTCTTAAAAATCATTGTACTAAAATTATCAGAACAATGCCTAGAGAATGCTAAATTTAGAGGAAAAACAGCTACTTCGTATACTGCAAAATTTCCACTATATCGTTTCTCTAGCTTCAGTGTCCTAAAAGTACCAACAACGTAATCTATTCACAGTAAAAACAGCCATTATCACCCAGAAACCACCTAACTCAAGTTTTCTGTCATATCATTTCTCCTTGGTAAAAGTCTATTTTATGCCTGAAGATTAAATTCAATATTTGACATCTCATTGAGAACCTGGATGTAACTAGCTTCTATAGTGTACCCTGTTCTGCACATTCAATTCAGCAATAATACAAGGAATTCAAGTGATCAGACCATTGTGAAAGAAATTCGATGCTCGTGCTCAAAAACTGCCACTGATCAAACATCATCTAAGAAATCAACGTAGAGCGGGAGGAGATGCAGCTTCATTACCTATGGCAACTCTATTAGGTAAAGGCCTCGCGATGAGACCATCAACAACCCAACCTGCAATTTCGCCATCGTTTTTAACATGGTTGAATTCCCGTCGAACATATTCTAAAGATATTTGCAGCCTTCCTCCTGGTCTGCAGTCATCACGAGTGCTACTTGATTTAATTCCAGCATTTCTCTCCAACCAATACAGATAGTTGACTTGAAATAATGACTTGAGCATATCTTGTGGTGAGGAACATTCTTTTAGTGTCACCTGTTCAAGGGCAAATTCAGAATAAGAGAAGTCAGAAAAGAAATAGAAAGTGAGGTCCTATCAAAGTTTCTTCAACACAAGCACTAATGACACAGCAATCATTCTTGTTCAATTATATGTAAAATTGTGAAGGATTAAATTCTGATTAGAAAACACTGGCATTCTCAAACAATCTCAAACAGGTTTGCTGCATCATTCTCCAAAAACAAATTTGAATATTTACTCCCAATTTTTTTTTTTAGCTTACTACAACACGACTGGAAGTAACTTGCTTCACTGGGTAAAAAATAAGATTTAAGTTGGCAAAAAAGTTAATAATCTCACTGGCCCTAAACACTCCATCAACACGATATCATTGTTGACTCATAATACTGGTATTACTTGTACAGAAATGGACTGAAGTGAACAAAACTATTAAACTAGTGACAGATTTGTCAAGAATATATTACATCTGCCAACACAAATCATTTAAACATCTTCAAAATAGTTATATAACACACCCAACATTTTTTGATATGTTCATCGAGTTTAAAAGCATTTAATACACCCAGTGTATAGCAGTCACACATGTCCTTTAAAGATACAAGGAAATATATTTAGCCAAAGATGCAAGGTGATAAAGATACAGACAAACTAATATCAAGATAGACGTTGGGTTGGCCGGTGGTGGGGGTGGGGGTGAAGTGAATTGGAAAAGAAAATGAAATGGGGGAAGGATGGATTAGCTCACATGATATCTTCCTTCAAGCTCTGTCAGAATATAACCTTCATTTTTGTACAGATTGAGAAGTGCAATAGCATCTTCTCTGCTTTTAAGAACATCGGAGAGCTTGGAACCTAGTTGTAAACGGCACTCAATATGAGCAGCTGCGTCCTTGGCATCAGCAGATAGCACTTCTGCTTGTCCCTGGAGGGTAACACAATCAGAGAGTTGATACTGAGGTAATCAACTTCAATTTTATGCATCCCAAGTTGTGGAAACCTTCAATTCTCACAAATTTAATAATTAAACATGCCAACATCCTGCAAATAATAAAGAAAAGAGAGAAATCAACCTACTTCAGATGCAGGCTTCATATTCAAATCCGGAAAGGCTGGAAATAGTGGTTCCTCAGCATTAACCTCTCTAACTGAAGGTACTAGACCACTGAGCAGATATTCACTGAAGACCAAACCTATTGAATATGAAAGCACATTAAATTTAATTTTACTAATTACATAAGCAAACAGAAAGTGTGCGACTCTAATACCCAATGGTTTATGTAAAACCATATAAAGATATAGTAAGGGTAAAAACACAATGGCTAACCTCTAGAAGTCATTTGCGTTTTGCAGTAAATATCCATCTTCAATAATATTTTGTTGGGCGGAGGCATAAGTTACATTTTGATCATACTAAACGATTCCCATTTATTCATTAACCAAAGAAAAATGACAATTGCAATGTGCCAAATTTTTATAGATTCATTTGAACCTATCATGCTTTGACTTCATCAGACGTTGAGCATAGAGAATTTTGGAGAATTTTTCCGGCAAATATGTTTCCACGAGGTTGTGCACTCATTTAATCCCCAAGTAATATATCCATGTGATTTAAGTTTGACATCCTGAGTTCAACTTTTATAATGTTATTTTGTGTATAAATTTATATTTAGATCTGATTACAATGTTCCGATAAACTATAAAGATCTCATTAATATTATCCAATGATTCCTTCCCATATTCTTTTTCTAATACTATACACGATTTCAAAGTAATACCAAATAAAAAGACGAGATGATGAGGAAATACTTGCACGATATGGATTTAAAGTCCTTAGTTGAATTGATTGATATGACTTGAGATTGCAAAACATGTGGATCCAAGTAACCACACCAAAAGAAGCAAGAGCAAGAGGCACAGAAGATTGTACGCAGCTAGCTAACCCTATGCCAAGCATAATTCCTATGGACTTGCTCACCATTCCTTGAGCTTCACCTTTAGCAATCACCTGTAATAATTGAGTACGTCAGAATCCAAGGTTATGTAGATACTGCCCAAAACTATTTGCACAGACCATGTGAAACAAGCACTTTTAAGAACCTTATTAACAATTAGGAAGTTTCCTGTATCAGAACAAGATATGCATTCAAAATAGAGGGGAAGAGATAAAACAGAATAAAACAACCTCCGCAAAATTCCTCTGAGCAGCAAAACCGGCATAGAAACAACTCCTGGTAGCTGCCTGTCAAGTGGAGTTCAATAGTGAAGTTGAGTAATAGTCAAATGAAACTTACTAAAGAAAAAACAAAAACATTTAAAATTGACAACGTGCTGAAAGAAGTTACATAAAAGCATCTGCCTCAAGCTCGACCAAATAACATTTTGCATAAGTTAAAACTTAATAAATAAATATAAATACACTCTAATGCACACAAGAGAGAGCATCATATGATTATGAAGAAAAGAACAATTGGATTTGACAATAAGGTAAAACAAAATTATAACCTAATCAAGATTGTTAAGGTTACCTGGATTAATGCTGCCGCCGATCTTCCAGCTCCTGCAACAGCACCTATTGGGACGAAGAGATGTGGAAAAGCAGGGGTCAAAATCTCCATTCCATAGGCAGCATTTTCTAGTAGATCTGCAAATAACCTCCAACCCTTTGGATTCACATCAAAATGTCTCCCATACTTTGACAATAAAATCTTGCTGAGATAACCAATGCCATCCTTCAAAACCCAATTCACAGCTGCCGCAGTCGGAATTGCTCCCTTCCCCAATCCTACCGCATAAAGCAAAGACTGCACAAAATATAACATTACAAACAGCAATTACCAGCTGCAAAATTTATCAAGCTCCATATTTATCTAATTACACCCTGAATGACTTCAAAGACCTATACGCCATAACAAGCATATATAAATTTCAAAAAAGGCCTACAAGCTATGAACAGCTTCATTTGCTTGAGAAATATCATTTTGTGAGGGTTCATCTATTATGTTCAATTTTTGGCCTTCATATCGCAATGATAACATATAAATGTTACATAATCCAGTAAAAAATTCAAACTACCACGAGTAACCTAATTAACACTGTTTCTGCTTCGCATGGTGTTAGTTATCCACCAAGATTATGAACATAGTTTGACAAAACTTGCATCACTTAAATCATCAACAATTCTTAATATGCATTGAACATAACAACAAATAAACATTAAATCCTTACCAAATGCAGAAATTTGGATGACACAACGAATGCAGGTAAAATTTTGATTACCTGAGTAGCAAGCACGCCGCTAATCTGTGATGCAATGCCCTGAACCCCTCTCCAAAGAGAATACTCCAAATAATCACTTGTCACACTCGAGGGAAATCCCTCGGGGAGCATCAAATCCAAAACAAATTCCCTACATTTCATCCAAACATCCTCAAAACTCGAGAAATTCGAATCTTTCCTTCTCGAACCCCAATCCCACGACCAAATTGTTTTTGGAACAATAAATTCATCCTTTTTATAATCCTGAACAAGCTCAACTTTCTTCCCACCCTTGATTTCACACACAATCCCTTCATTGTCAGTAGTTTTAGCTTGCGCCTCAGAGGACGAAAAAACGAAGTAGCTAATAGAAGCAGAAGCGGAAACTAGGAACAAATAGATATGTTCTTGAACTGCTAAGGTAAATGGGTCGTGTTGTTTTTCAAATTTTAAGTAAAAAGGAAAAAGAAAATATGGGTATTGGTTGAAATTAAAGAAATTGTTGTTCCAGCCGTCGCCACGTCCACCGGCTCCTCGTCCTCCTCCACCGCCTCTATTGTTGTTTTTGTCGTTGTTATTATTTTCATAAGAAGGTTCTTGAAGCGGCGTGAAAGGAAATGGGTTGTTCAGTTTGTTGGTGTAGAGTTTTTGGAGGAAGGGTATACGCGGCTGCTGGTGGCGGTGGCAGAACGGGGTGGCGGCGGTCGGGTGAAAGAGGGGGGACGGGGAAGGGTGATGAGGAAGAAAGAAGAGGTTGCAGGCCATGACTAGAGTGGGGTTTAGGTGGGTCGCGCAGCCGCGCTTCTTTTAAAATTCTTGGAATTACTTTGACTGGAAAAAATTTTCAATTTTTATTTTGTTAGATCACTGATAATGTGCAAATATGGCTCTAAATTATAAGAATTATTTTAGATGTACATTATAATTATAATTTAAGTTAAGGATGACATTTTTTTATGTGTCGAAATCTAGCAAGTAATGTGAAAGGGCATTGAGAAAATTAAATGTCATAATGAATGTCACGTGGAAGCATGTCAAAGATAAAGTCAAAAGACAATCTACATGTATCATGTTTAGGACCTGTTCTGTAGGGATTCTCATTTTTTACAGTAAATCAATTCTCATTTTCAACCACACATTCTTCAATAAAATAGTATTTTCCATCACATCAATATTTTTTTCTTTTTTTTCAACCACACATTTCCCATCATATCATTATTCAAAATCAATTTTTCCCCAAAAAAATATCTACCAAACAAGCTCTTAATCTTATAAATGAGTAACTATGTTATCATCATGGGGGTGGCGTTAGGATTTGAAACTAGAGTAACAGCATAACATGTGTTTACTCTGCAAATAAAGAACGTAAAATCTTAGAAGTAACAAATTTATATAAAGCAAATTAAGCCCCTGTTTGAGTCACGTTATTTTTTCATTCTCATTCTTCTATTCATTTTCAATCACACATTTTTCAATAAAATAATATTTTACATCACATCAATAACTTTTCTTTCTTTTTCAACCACATATTCCGCATCACGTCAATCAAAAAAATGTATTCTTGGAGCAAAAATGTGTACCAAACAGGGGCTAAAATTGAGTAGGTTGTAACGTCAATGACAGCATATGGTGAAAATGATGCTGGGTATAAAATTAGAATTAATGATGGGAAATGATGATGTTAAGGCTTGAGAAGTAACGGATAACATGTATGTTATCATACAAGTGAGGAGTGTTATCATGCAAGCAAAGAAATTTGGCGATTTAACTGAAAATGGATGGGTTTTAGTGTTGAATGATGTGGACCTACTGACGGTATTGATTCTTCAACTGTGTTGGTTGAACAAATAGTGAGGGTAACATGGCATGTTACATGCGTAAAACATGATTTATTATAAAAAAGTAATATATAGTAAAACATGTTACTCATGCAAAATAGAGATGTTTATGTTATCCAAGTCAACATGTGTTTTGAAATTTAAAATATTAATTATAGATGAAATAATGTGTTGACGTTGAAATTTGTATAAGCGTAATTCAAGCCAACTTAAGAAAAAATACGTGGATTTCTTATTGATATAACCAAGTTTTTACAAGAATATGACACAATCCTCCTTTTTTTTCTAGTAATAGGAGATATTTAAAGTATGAGAATACGTCTGAGGGGTTTTATATGCTTGTGTTCACTTCCCCCTTCCTTTGGGCTTATGATCTCTATTTATAGGTAAACATGCATGCATGCTGTACCTCCTGTCTTTTGACTGGGATTCCGAACTGAAGAAGTACAGTGGCTGGTGCGATAAAATTGGCTGTCGAGCTAGACTCTGTCAGATTGCTTCAGGGCATTAATTGAAAGTGGCCCCCAACAATTAATGCATTATTTAATGGGGGATGCTAACACTTCTGATTGGAGGATTATAGGGACGCTGATGTAATACATTTCCAATTGCCTTTCTATGATTTGTGATTCATATATCCTGTTAGAGATCCTTAATCATTACTTTCTTCCTTACCTTGGAAGACTACACAAGCTTCCTGCAGAAGACATCCACCTCTGAGATGAACTTACATGAGCGATCTCAACATTTTGTTCCACTAATGACGTGGGTCAATCTGACCTTAATGACCTTCGAGGTTGGTGCCAACATAATGAAATATCAATTTCAGATTCAAACGAGGTATTTAAAATAATAATAATAATAACCCAAGAGAAAGTTTGAAAGTGTATTTAGGTAAAATCATTCCCTATGGCAATTAGCTACTCATGCCATTTTTTTTTTCTTTAATTAGACAGCAACAGCAGCATAGCATAAAATGACTTCAACAAACACAATTTGTATCTACTATGTTGCAATTGTCACGCCTTTAGTGCCCAAGGTCATACCATAGTTCAAATCGATTACGTCGAAAAAAGAAAGAAAGAAAGATTGTGTAGGTACTTTGGATCGAGAATCGAACAAGATCAAGAACGTTGATAAACAAATAATATTTGGTTTTTAATAAATTTGAGATCGATTATTGAAATTTTTTTTAGATGCTGCAGGATGGACGGGATCATTTCAATTGTCTACTATGTTTCAAAAAACCTATTTCAAATTGGAGATTGATTATTTGTATTTTTTTGCGGGTCGTTTTTATATTTATAAAAATATTCGAACTGACTAGATTTTAAAAATGATTACAAGCCACGTTATTTTTAATTCACCTTTCTTGTTTTTACAATATTCTATCGAGACATCGACATTTTCACATATTGATACACGAACAATGATACATTATGACATTATCTTATAGGGATATAATTAATTCAATATTCAAGTTGTTATCAATTTCGTTTGTCCACAAGAATTCCATAACTCAAGCAACGTCTATTATTCTTTCAAGAAAATGATAGATTTGTCAATTGCTTAGGAATTGTTTCTTAATTAAAAAAATATGAATCATGCATGCATTTTCCCTTCACCCAAGGGGTACCGTGCCTTATACATAGCTTGTTTGGCTTTACTTATTTTTTAGAAACAACTGCTTATTTTAAAAATATAATTTCGATATACAGGAATAAACCAATTTTTTTTTCATTTCTTTCTTGTCTTTTAAGCTAAGTCAAACGTGCTCCAAGCTAAATAAGACACAATTACCCTTTACTAAAACTGCATAAGATTAGTATATTGAAATTGTAAAAGTCCAGCACGGTTCAAGGGAAATATTTACAGAACAAAATACTGAAAGTTCATATGGGTAAGTTTCTACAATGGACGTTATAGCCTATAGGTACACAAATCTAGAGAAGTCGATATGTGCCATTTCTACAGGAAACGGAGGCGAAGTCATGGAACGGTTAACCGTCCTTGTTGCCCCGGAGATTCCCATGACGATTCGAGTCGCATTAGATGTAATTTCTCAACAAATGGCTCTAGAACTTCAGCCTCTTCTTCTGGGGCAAATGCCATGCAGATGCTAAGTTCTTGGACTGCCACATCGTAGTCCCTGTTTCGTATAAAAGCAGAATGACAGACTAATACACCATAGTTGCAGAGTATCATAAAAAAGGAGAGAAAATGAAGAACCGTATCCCATACCTACTATAGTACAACATCATGCCATAGTCTCTCCTGAAAGCCCAATTGTGTGGCTGCAGAATCAGCAATCTCTCGGAAGCCATGGTTGCGAGCCTATGAAGTATTGTAACATCCAAGATGAAGTGTTATGACCAACGTGAATAAAGTTATTCCTTAGACAAAGCTATAATATGGAACAAGTGGAAACTAGGGTAAGATCTATTGTAGGACTACCCGAGTAAGGACGGGCACGCTAACGACCAGACTGGATCTTAACTGCTTGAAAGGCTGATACTACAAGTCGACTTCAGAAGATGAACCATGTGTAAAAAACTAAAAATGCTTCTTCGAATGTATTCTCAATAGCAATGAATTTCGCAAACATTCTTCCGACAATTTTGAACCCATATTTTTCACTAAACAAATAACCAATCAACTAATGCTATTTTTATCAGTAAATGCACGGTTGATTATCATACACCTACACGACGTAATAAGAACAAACTGACAAAGTGGTCATTACTACGACTTTCAAGAACTTTACTAATCTTTCACCTAGCTTAGACATCCTATTCGTTTAGCAATCTATGTTAAGTATTCCAGGAACGAAACTCATCCAAAAGAAATATATCGTTATGAGTTGAATTTCACAATTCCGGATATCTCATGCCAGTATTGCAGGATAAGCATATCGAATCCATAGGACAAGATAATTCGGCATCAGTGCAATCATGAAAAAGAATCAACAGCAGTATTCAAATCATATAGTAGTATAAGATGGCTACCTCAGTTCCCGAGGCCGCAACAAAGGGACATTTGAAAAATCGTTCTTGTTAAATTTCTCATCAGCATTATGAACAGAACTAAGTGGTGAAGTCCACATCAGTCCATAATTTGTTCTCGATGCCCGTTTCCAGTGAAGCGTCTGCAATATGTGTTAATTCTTTTATTTTCCATGGAAGCATTATTTGGGAAAAACCCGGAAGCAGCTTCTTAAGTGTACTGTAAAAGAACCAAATTATGCAAAATAAATTACTGGCATTTAGATCTTACAATCAAATTGCCCAAAGCAACCCCAATGATATCACGGTTCGTTGCAATGTCGAGCCCTAAAAGTGAATTACTATTTATGTCAGAGGCCTTAGATCGGGGGTCTTCCATACACTTCCCATTGACAACCCCAAACAAGATGTGTCCAGAAGTTTCTTTGGATAGCTCCTACAGTATAATTGTACCATTGAAATTTGGAACTATATGATATAAATGGCGACGTGGTGGTGTAAACTAGCGACAATATTTATGAGTTCTAAAATTGGCATACCTCAAGGTTCCCTGTTTGAGGCCATATCAAAAATTCTTCTCCAACTTGAGATCCAACAACGGTCAGATTAAGTCTTCGGCAAACCTCAATATAGATAACACCAAGTAAAATTGCTGTCGATAATGAAAATCATAAAGTCAGCTGATATCTTATATTCATTAGATAAATAAACTAAAAGATTGACAAAGGCATACCGCTGGCACATCTGGAGCTTAATACAGAGTGCAAGTATAAACATTTTGAATCTACCAGTACAGATGACCTTTTAAAACCTCTCAACTCAAACAGAACTTTGTTCACAGCATCAAGAACTTCTACCAGATCACATCCTATATCTCTTGAAACGATCTCTGCTTCAACTTCCTTTGCAATGGCATCCAACTCGACCAGCCACTCATTTATATTCTTTCCAGCTAAAGGCACAGCCTCCATGCGGTCCCACTCTTTGACATTGGAAGGTGATGATGTATCTCTCCTTTCATTTTGGAGTGAAAGTGCATCCATCTCACGATTGAAAGCCAAAAATGCCTCATCTTCAATAGCAACGTAAAGCAAAGCCTTGAAAAGATTGATTCAGGACAAAGTAAGGAAAGTGACAAATTCACACCTTTCCACGTGAAAACAAAGAAATTCAAACCCGAGACTCTAGCAAACATATGTATTGCGTCATCGTCAAAGATAATCCTGCACACCACTCACACTCTAACAGCTATATGCCAATTGGTGACGGTTAATCGTGGAAAAACCAGACAATTATGCTTCGACCCAGGTGAGTGAATGTCATATTTATATCTCACCAATTTTGCACTAACTACCTCAAAAAACCAAAAAGTGCAGAATAAGAAACAAAATTACCTTTGCAAGAGAGAGATCTTTGTCCTTAGACTGGAAAGATATCTCCTCTGTAAATTTTTTCCTAGCAGCTTCAAGGACCTGATAGATTGTCAAGATATATATGAAGGCTTCAATCAATTTCACAGATTTCCTGAACTATCAGTCAATTCTCAAAATCAACCACACACGCTTAAGTCGAAGGATTAGTTAGCAAATAACAGACAATATCAGTAACATATGACCCAAAAAAAGAACATATCATAAGAACTCAATTCCAACCTCCTTATAAAAGCTGGCTCTAGGCGAATTCCGGGATTCTGCCAAAGCAGAACAAGCAGGTGAAATGCTCAATCTCCGTTTCTCGAGTGCAGCAATTCGAGTTGTAGCCAGCAAATTGTTCATCTTCCTTTTTCCATAAACACTCAAACATTCATTTCGACCATCAAATACATACCTGATGATCGAAAAGAACAAAGGGATATTGGGGATTGCTTAGGAGTAGTAGTCATAAATGCTTCTCCTTTAATTACCATGACTTCACTCAAACAAGTGTAATATAATTCTAAAATTCAGGAGGTTATACATACAAATTTATCTATTATCCATCAAACTTCTTAAGGTCAATTCAGATTGAAATCCCACGTAATTTCTGGAGCTAAAAAGATCAAATTACCTGCCACAAGTTCGTAGAGAAGCCATAGTCACATGCATAGCTCCTGAAGAAGCATTCGCCCCACCAATCATCATCATCATCATATCCTCTGCTTATGGATCACCCCAGATAATGAAACACCCAGCATTTTCTTGAAAGAGAAGGAAAATCTAAAATCTTCTACGCTTAACAAGAAATAACAAAGGGGGAGTTAGATAGAGTCGAGTATTTCTTGAAATTTAGAATAAAGTCCCAAAGTTTCCAAGAAAAAAAAGAACAAACGGTGCCTGAATGCAGATATTTGGCTCAAGAGGCTACGGATCAGTCCTGATTCAGCGAACCCAAAAATCAGCACAAAAGGAGGGGAGAAAACGAAAGGGTGCTTAAAAAAAATTCAAGAATCAAGCTTTCTTTGCTTCCATATATGATGAAGAAAGGGGCTTGGGAATTGAACGGAAGAGAAATTTAACGGCAGAATAGGCCTTGTCAGGCATTGAATGAGAACTTCCAAAAACTAAAGGAAGACAGACAAGGTTGCTGATGAAGATGAATAGGCATAACTACAACCACAGCTAGCACAAGAATTATAGTGGAAGCTGACGCTACTAATACATCCAAAAAATTCAAGATCCATCGTATTGGAACTTCTCGATTGCAACATCAGCAGAATCAAAACCCAACTTTCTTTTTCATTCTTCCTATCTCACTCTATACCTCTCTGTATGTATAGGTTGATGGAGTGAATAAGAGTGCAACCAGAGGGGTCTTCTTTCGTCTACTTAAAAAGACAGAAAAAGGGGTTGTGGGGTAGGCTGGAGTGGCTAGTGGGGTATAGATTTGAGAATTGAGATTGGCATAACATCACAGGTACTTCATTGCATGATTTATTCAGATGGGCAAAAGCATAGAAGTTAGTGAATGAATATCCTCTGTTTACAAATACACCTAATGTTTGCAATGTACTCATGGCATCTTTTTAAATTTTTTTTAATAATTCATGAACAATAAATTCTCGACATTTACTATTATTAAAGAAGTTTTAAAAAGGTCACAAGATAATAATGGTGATTAAGTAATTGCAAGACAATAGAGTTAAAACTATACATAATTAGAAATAAGTGTCGCAATAATGGGGATTGGGGTATTAAACAAATAGCATTAGGAAGACTTGGCAAGAATTGGAATGAGCTAAATTAATTGGAAAGGGTGGGACCATAGGCATAGAGAATTTTATCCAATTCTTATGAGGTACTTAGTTGTTAAGAATGTGACAGGATCATTTCATGATTGGATAAACTCCAATTTTGATTGAATTATTGGAGAATGATTATTATGTGTGACCAGGGCTAATGTTACGTGGTCCATTCTAAGTAATAGAATTGTTATCCTATGATCTCGTCATTTTTCATGTCGATTTTCCCTTTTTCGTCTTTTAAAATGAGGATGTTAGAGTTAGAAATTAATTAATGTACTAGGATGTCTTAATTGGAGACGCCTCCTTAACACCTTCATCATCTATCTATCCGAACATTTTATGTTAATAATTTAAAAATAGTATAATCAAATTCTATCCAATTAAATAAAAAAGTGCCATGAAAGTACAAATCAACAGAACTATTAATCATGCCTCCTCAGAAATAAACATTGAAGGAAATTTAGAAGTCGTAAAAAAAAATGAATAACGTCATATTTACAAATTGGGGATGATCCCCATGTGATATGGTAGGTGACATGGGATGAAATGACGAGGCCAATTAAATGTATGAATATGAGGTCAATTTTAAAATTGTGTGAAATCCAAAGTCTATTGGAAGGTGACTAAACATAAAACTAGTGCTGAATTAAGATATTCAATTCTAGTGCTATTGGCGTCAATCGCCTTAATGAATAAAGCCAAGAGGCCCACGTATATACTGGACTGAACTCCTTTCCCAATCGGCTTAGCTTTGTGGAAAGACCGACAGACCACATATGATCATTTGAGGGTGGTTTTCTAAGTGCCTTAAAATTGTTGGGGAAAAAAAAATGCACAATATATTTGATTATTTTCTTCGTGGAACTTATATTTATTTAATGAATTTATTGAAGATTTTACAAAGGTCGCCTAAAAATTTACATTAACTAGTTTCTATAAAATCTCTTCTAGATTTGCTTGGGTTTTATAAAACTAATTTTGTTTCACAAGCATATCTTTTTTTTAACGTGAGATCAAGCTTATTTTTCAATGTGTTCGACTTGGATCTTGCTTATTTGACTTAATATTTTACGGTACTACTTAATTTTCAAATTCAAAATCAAGTCTTCAATTTCATAGACTGTGACAATGGTTCGTGCCAATTCTAGGGATGACAAAAAAATCCAACAAACTCGATACCCGCGGTGCCCGCCTTGAATGGGGTAGGGATTACCCACTTAATAGGGTATTCGGGTCGGGGACGGTGTGGATGCGGGTAACGGGTGTCCTGTCCCATTTAATTTAATTTTTATTTTTAATTTTTAGAATTCAAAACTTTAAATGAAAAATTTCAAAAAATTTCATTAAATCTAATAGAAAATGGCAACTAAGATTATCCAAAAAAAATATGACAAACAACAAAAGTCTTAGTTTACCAACTATATTTGAATAATTTAACTTTTAAAAATAAATAAAGATAAAAAAATATATATATTATTATCTCACACTAATGAATGTGGGCAATAACATGAATTATCAAAAACTAAAAAAAAAAAAAAAAAAAAATTAAACAGAATAGTAAACGGGGCATCGCCCTGCCCCGCCCTGCCTTAAACGGGTAACGGGGCGAGGAATTGCCTGGTGAGACGAGGGAGGTTTCCCTGACTCGCCCCGTTGTTATCCCTAGCCAATTCAAGCTATTAACATGTTAATCCACGCCATTACAACTTGAGTAATATAGCCCAAAAAAATAACAGTTGGAGAAAAATTCTTGACACGCGAAAGAATTTAGAAAATGATCATGTCATCATATCGCGATATTTCTTTGCACTAATTAGCTTATATTACACGATTAATTTATCTAATTGTTTAAATTACCATAAATTCTTTCTTTTTATATGTGATTTCTGGTTTTAAACCTAAAATTGCAGGGAACCAAAGGTGGAAAAGCAGAACTTGTTAATCACATGTCACTTTCCCTGAATATCTGTCCCCATTCCTTTCTTTAAGTAACTTCCCAAGTGACTACAAATTTAAGCGGCTGCAAAGTAGATACATTTATTTTTTTTAATTTAACATTCAGCATGTCTCATTGCATGTAGGTCATGTTCATTTTTAATCAAAGACTTGATACATATAATTTTCATAAATAAATAGTGACTAGACTTGAACAAAATATTTATCTCTAATATGATAGCATATTGAACTATCTAGAAGTTCAAGTTGTTAAAGAGATGATACTTTTATTCATTTAGCCCTGTTTGTTTCACACTATTTTGTACATGAAAATGAAATTTTTGACCTTTTTTCAAAAAGTGAGTCCCACTATGAGACAAGGTAGTCAAAGATTGCGGCTGATCCATTTTGCGACGGTAAAAATTCTTCTAATAATGTGAAACAAACAGAGGCTTAAATGAAGTATGCACGTGTCTTTCGCAGCCCAAGTAAAGACGAAATGAGTGGTAGCCTGATCGTTAGTGTAAAACTTTGTCACATCTTATAACACAAATTCTAAAATAACAAAAGGGGATCAGAAACCGAACCAAATTTTGGGATACCCTGCAATCCTTTCAATCTGATACCCATGCCCAAAGCAGATAGCTCAATCTCAGTATTCTAAATGAGACGCGTGATTCGTTTTATCTTCACTTGAGAATGCATGATTGAAAGAGATACAAACTGAAATGTGACTAGTAAATTCGAGTGTGCTTATTTGAGCCAAGAAAATTCGAACAGCTACTACCAAGAAAAAATAACATTACAACAACAAACTAATACTTATTCTCAATAACCTGTCATTGGTTACCTGAATATGATACACAACAATCAAGAGAACGAATACTACCAAAACAAAACCTTTGAACTGAAGACAATATTAAACCAGGAATGACATTAGCAAGACCCCAAATGAGATGGGAATCTATATGACAATGACACAGCCACAATCCAGCCACAATTCAATGAATTCCACACCCAAGTGAGATGGGAATAAAAACATTGAAATAAACATGCAAACTATTCAATGCTTTAAGTGCAAAGTCCAGAATGAATTCCACTTCCACGCCCAGCTACAATCTTATTAATCCCCCAATTTTGCACAAGCCGAAATGGCAGACTGAATTCCCTCCTTCATCTTTGCATACCCACTAATCAAAACTAGTCCACAACACCACATTTCTTTCATGCATTTCATCAAACACCCATTCATGCTTCATCAATTTCCAGACACTCTCCATAAAAATGTATCCAAGACTTTGATATGAAGATATCATCTTGAAATCCCATTTTCAGCCATAACAACATCAGCAGCAACGTACGACCAGCAGCATGAACATCACAACGAAGGCAAATGGCGTTTTCGGCTTCAACGAATACACTCCATTTTAGGGCAAAAATGGCGATTGTTAGGGGCTTCAAGGCTGTCAGCTCGGTCGATTGGATGATTGATGAAGACAATGACGTTTTCGGCTTCAACGAAGACACTCCATTGTAGGGCAAAAATGGCAATTTTTAGGGGCTTCACGCGGGAAGGAGAAAGAAAATGGATGCTTCAAGGAAGACAGTGGCGTCGAGGGCTTCAAGGAAGACACTCCGATTTAGGGCAAAAAACGGCGATTTTGCTGTCAAAGTGGGCGGGAATGAGGAAGAAAGAGAGAAAAAGGATACCAGATTCCCTCTATTTTGTTTGATTTATGCACCAGCACGCTTGCATGCCCGGTCACGTGATTTTTTTTTAATTTTCTGTAAAGCTTCTGTTAAAATCCTTCTGTACACCCAGCATTATATAAACAAGAAAGTCGGTGAACAAAAACAGCAAATCAAATTGAAGAATCCACTTTAAAAAATAGACTTTACACTTAATACTCATCCTATTCTTCTGAAATGGCCGAAGGGCCATCTCCTATAATCCCACTGCTTTTGGCTGTCTCATTAGGACTCCTCCTCAGGGGCCAATCCGAAATCAATCTTCCCTTAGGGTGCGTTTGATTGCAATGGTGGAAATTGGGTGGAAAGAAATTATAATTTTCCACCCGAAAATTTTTCAAATTTTTTATTCGTTTGGCTTTGTTTTACATGAAAATTGTCCATTAAAGTGATATTTTTTTCCACAATTGGTTATAAAATTTGTTGCCAAAAAGTTTAAAAAAAAAAAAAAAATTGTTTCCTAAAAAATCATTTTTAATCAAAATTTAGTGTTCATTTGATTTTATTTTATATAGAAATTATCCATTAAAGTGAAAAATCTTTTTACAGTTGATTATGATATTTGTTTCCATTTCCCAAAAAAAAAAATTTGCTTCAGCCAGTTGGAAAATATTTTCCCAACAATGTTGAGAAAATATTTTCAAGAAAATGCTAACGTGGCGGCAGGTGGGGAGGGAAAATTTGGGCTATCAAACAGCGCAAAAAATGGAAAACGGAAAATATTTTCCTACTTCCCTTGAAAATTTCACCAATCAAACGCGCCCTTGGTTTCTGAAGCAGAAAATGCAGTCTTTACATTTGTTGTATTCATACCATTTCTTGTATTCCTCGCAGTTTACTCCCCAACTCGTACAATTGTGGTGCCTCTTGCACTAATCCTGATCGTGTACACTGTCACTACAATGCTTCTTGGCCCTCTCGTGCTGATTTTGATCGTTTATAGTCAACTCTAGCCCGGCTTTCCTTATATCTGACGGAGGGGAACTCGAGTAGGGATTCCTGCTTGTGCTTGTCTTCTTTGCGTTAAATTGGGTGGTGTCCGATGCAGGGCGCCAATGGGGAGTCCTCCTGCTGGCTTTACTGATCTATGTTTTGTATCATTTCATCGACAAATCTTGAGCTGCAATTATTGAGGTTAGTAGAGAAAATTCATGCAGCTTTTAAGTACGGGAAAAGAAGTTACTTATAAACTTGAACAAAAGTAATGAGAAACAATGAAAAATGAAAATGAACAAGAAATGTAAATGATGGTTCCCCTTCAAGAAAGAAGTTCTAGTACTGTCGAAGTACGCGTGACGATTCTAATTCATTATTTGGACAATTATGTTTCAAGATTGAGAAATTGGATTATGAACTTTCGACTTTGTATTTCGACTGTTAATAATTAAATAAATAATTATGTATTATAAAATTTGTGTATATACTGATATGTGCAAGATGTTTTAAGGAAAGGTAAAACTCGATACTGGTGATTGTGGTGTGAAAATTGCAAGTGTACGATATTATTTAAACAAGTATTAAAGTTGATCTATAGAGTTCAAATTATTGGTCATATGAACACTATCTATTTAATATTAATCCTAATTCCTATTTGAATAAAGTAAAAATCGATGACAATATTTTTGACCAGAACTAATATTAACTCAAAAAGTAAAAGCAATAAGAAGTGTCTTTGTATTGAGTATAAATTAAACTATTCAGTATTATGATTAAATGTTTCAACTCATAACTTCAGTGTAGTTTTCACATTTAATCTCGTCTCTCAAGATGAATCGTGTCCAATGATACAATTTCGAGCCACATTCTACATATGAATGCATTTATTTATTACCCTGTTCGATAGCATTTAAATCAAGATTTTTATCAAAAGAGTAATATTATTCATCCCCAGTGAGATTACAAATGATTTATTTAATTTCACATATCATTTAACCTATCATTTAACCTACAAGATAAATCTTGTATAAATTCTAGCTACCAATCCCCAGACCCAACCCTTATCCCCGCCCCCACTCCCACCAACTCATACACTACATCAATGTGACCTACGCTGCCATTTTTTATCTAACAAAAGGTGCAAACTTTGGAATTTTGAATGGTGGGTCTATTTTGGTGATAAATTTAAGTTAAATATGGCATGTAGTGATTGATGCTTTCTACCTAGTTTATATTTTACTTCTATATGTATAATTATAATTTTCAGGTCACACGTTCATTTATTTCCAAGCTGCAGTCTAATTTAACTTTATTTTATAACTAATCAACTTATAAAAACAAGTCCAACTAATTCATTGAAAACAAGCCTATGCTTTAAAAGGGATTCACACTTTTAAGATTATCCTACACTTTTTGTAAACTAATTTGATGTTGACTTCTTTCTTAGTTGCTAAATTCTAAGTTACCATTGTAACATTCAGTGCCAATCTCATTGCTTATGGCAGTCCCAAATCAATCTCCTAATAAATATAATGAAGCAGAAAATGCAATCTTCACATTCAAGAAAGCAGTTCTACTGTGCAAGTACTAGTGATGATTGAAGTGCATTTTTTTTTTTTTTGCCAAATTTCAGATTTCAAATAAGTTTTTCTAGTGGTGTCAATCGAGCGAGTCAGAAAAAATGAGCCACGAGCCGCTCGGGCTCGTCAAATGACGATCCCGAGCCGAACTCCGAGCCAACGAGCTCGCTCACAAGCCCAGCTCGTGGGTTCGTCTTTGTGAAGGATTATTTTTTTATTTTTTTCAGAAAAAAGGTGTATCTTAAAAAAAATAAAAAAATTAACGAGCTAGCGAGCCGAGCCACGAGCTCACAAGCCGAGCTCAAACCCGTGAGTAACGAGCCGAGCTTCTTATAAACGAGCCACGAGCTTGGCTCGTGACGAGCAAGAGTCGAGCTTCACAAGTTGAGCTCGTGGGCATACAGGCCGAGCGAGCCGAGCCCATGTTTTTCACAACCTTTTCCTTTTCTTGAACTTGTTTCGGGGTTCTTTCAAGTTCAGCATGTGTGTTTCTCTGTCATTTAGCTAATTAAGAGTTTAAGAGGATAAGACAAACCAGGTGGTTCAGTCATCGGAATGCTTCCTGAAACTGGCTCTTGATGGACAGTTTTTAGGTGATGTTCAATGCCTTTTTCCAAAAATCAAGCTAAAAAAATCAGTAATTGATGGGAATAAATTAGGGAGTTTTGCAAATTTCACTAAGGTAGTTGGGACTAGAATTTTGGTCCAGCAGAAACAGAAGAGGGCAGGGGATTGAGAACTCTGCGCAGTCTCAAGGGCCATGAGATCCCAGTCCCACGAGTATAGTATCAAAATTCAACCTCTTAACAGCATGTAAGGTTGCTCTTTCAACCGGCCCCTCAAATTTGGCTTTAGGCTAAATTTAAAAGAGAGAACGACCTCGTAGTCTTCCATTAACCAGCTAGGTAAACTGTGGACAATATGTACTCATGGCACTTCTTTCACGGCCCTATTTTGCAAAATGTAGAGGAACATATTTTCTATTCCATTAGACTCACGTTGTTTTCTTGACAGAGACTTCCCAACACGCAGACCGTCAGCAAAAAGGATTTGCGCTTCCATTTGCTGAGGATAAGGAACATTTACAAGAAGTTTTGGTCATTCCATGACATAGTCCTCAATATCATAGCAGAAGCTTTAAAATCCAGATTTTTCTTGATTTTCCACAAGAATTCGAGTGCATTACCTTACACTGTTATCTCAAATTCAAAGCAATGTCCCCTGCAGAAATGTTATAATTATTCAGAAAAGAAAGCGGAGATGCTATGAATTTCTGAGAAATACGTTTTCATCTTTCTTGTTTAGTTTCTAGGTTGCCAGCACAGTCAGGATTGCTCTGCTACCTGATTCATGCCTTCTGTGTTGCTCTTTACTACATGAAACTTTCTTTAACCATCATATAGTATTCCTGCCACAACACTCAGAAGTCATAACTGATCCACAATTTCCCGGTATAATGGTCCCTCAATTCTTCGACCGCACCTCCAGGTAACACACAACACGATACTCAGGATATTCCCCACTAGATGGCATGATGCCTTTAAGCCGCCTGCCCATCCGCACATGGAACCATTCTGTTCATGCCATTCATAGATAGTGTTCTAAGGTTTCGATTCTTCTGCATTTTAGCAGTAACCTATTGTTCCATTGAAATAACTTTTGTATTACCATTCTTCACTTGATTCTTACCAATTCTCTCAAACCATAGAACCAAATGCATTCATGAGGTTTCTTATAAAACGATCTTTTCTTCATGATTCAATGATGCTCGTACCATACTTGGATTTCTTCCAAAAATAAACGAAGCTTCTCGTCAATATATAGTAAGTGCAGGATACTATCCTGCCAAATCAAACCATGTTTCACAAGCATACATTAGTACATACCTCGAAAAGAAAAATAAATACACAAAGCGATTACTAGTTCATGATATTTCTCAACCAAAAACATCAAAATACAAACATCCAACACTAATAATCCATCAGAAATTGCGATCAAAGGAAAATTTAACATATTAGTATATCTTATTCAATATTATAAATATAGTTAAATATACTTCTCCAGGAATAGTTCTTCAGACCATTCAGTGATATCCAATTGGGGCTGGGGCTGCCTTCAGTTCATGTCCCTGATAATGGATGTCCTGCAATCATTATATATAAAACCTAAGCATCTAAATCAAATTGCTTAGATAATCAGATCATATATAGTTTTATGTACGTACCGATGCAAAGTGGTTAACATCACGATGGTGAGCCTCGTCGGCTCTAACCACCATGACTACATCGCGCAGAGTTGAGTTTGGTGGCATGCGCCAATAGTCGATGGCAATAGCCGGAGCAGGAACATTCTCAATAGTGCCCTTGTCCAACTCTGTCAAGAACTCGGTGTACGAGTGGATCGCCTCCTCTTCCAAATACCCCACAATCCGGTGAGCCAATTTCGGGGAAACGAGATAGGTCAAGAAGTATGCATTGAAAAATACGCCCTGCACCGTGAATACAAGAGCTCGTTCGTACCATCTGGGCTGGGACACTTCCATGAATGTCATGAGGTGCATTCTTTCATTTTCGGCTTCTTCTAACAATGCTTTGATCCAACCACCACTGTGTTCGAATCGCCTCAATGACTTGCAGTGCAGAAGCATCCCTCCAACCATGCCAGGCACAGCGGCAACAGTTTCCAGCATCATCGCACGACATCCATACCGCCTCTGTGACAGGATAAGTAATTAAACGCATTGTTTGGTACGCAATTTTGCACTATACACAATAGTACAACAAACAAGTATCCACTTTTGCTTGATTAATAGGTTTGACAAATATAAAGTCCAATCCACCAGAGAAACCATAAATGCAACACATTTAGCAACTGTATCTTCCCATCTAATAGAAAGAACAACAACAAAGCACTCTCTGATAAATTTGTTGTTGGCTATGTGTCAGACTACGATTTGTTGATATCCAAAGTCCAACTATTATATGAAACTACATGGGTGTTTGATGGAGATTAAAAATAAATTTTTAGTAGATAGTGCTAAAAGTTTTTTAAATGTGTGGTTGAAAAGCCGTGAAACTCATGAAAGATATTGTTAATATTAATTGTTTGATTTTAATATATTAAAATCTGATTTTAATCCGAAACAAAGAGGGCACGTATTACTCTCCAAGATTTTAATTTGCCCCTTCTATCTTTTTAACTTTTTATAACTATACATGTGTTCAAAATAGAGGTAGGTTTCAGTTTTTGTATTATAACAATGTTTGGTTTTGAAAAAAATTGATAAAATATATATTTGAAAAATTGATAAAAATTGCGAATTATGTGTGATTAAAATTAATTATAAATTTCGACTTAGATTTTTATCAATTTATAAATAAAATTTAGATAAACCAAACAAGATGGAAGAAAACCCTAAAAAATATTCATTTTTTTTTTTCGCTAAAGAACTTGAATCCAAGAACATTAACCCTATTTGTCCCCATTCATTAGAGCTCTTTTTTAAAAAAAAATTCATTTTCAACACATTCTCATGAAACTTGCAACTTTTATAAAATTTTCAACCATATATTTCAACAACTTCTCACAATCTACAAAAAAATCTGATTTTTAACTAAACCACTGGCTAAATAACATACCTGAAAGAATATATCTGTCGGAAGTCTGAGAACCTTGACGGTCCAATATGCCACCTTGTCCAAGAATGTGACAGGAGCATGGTGTTTCTTCAGATCTATAGACAGATCAGCCTTGTAGGTCTCCCATGGCTTCATAAATCATTAAATTCAAAAGGCCAAATCAAATAAATTCATAAAATTTGAATACGAACAAATTAATCTTTTTTAAATATGTATATACAGAATTCTTATAGACGTTCTTAATTTCTTTCCTACATACCTTAAAGGAGTTCCACCTCCATTCAGAGCCATCCTCTTTAGTAATCTTGGCAGGCTCCACACCCCAATAACTCACTATTCCCTTGTTATTATTGCCCCCACCAGCAGAGGCGGCACCACCAGTTGCGCCGCCCTGCACCTTCTTCTCTTCCTCCTGCTGTTTGTCACCCAAGGCAAAAGTGCCCACGTTACGCGCACCACCAACCGCCGGCAACCTCATCCGCCCTACAAACAACTTTTCAGAATTCTGGGCAAGATTACCATGGAGGAAAGTGGTGGTGCCGCCAAGAACACCCCTAATTGCTTGCAAATCACTTGCTACACCGCCATGCAAAGCAGTTGTCGAAAAATAACGTGGGCCCATGTGGCCTAACACGGCCCGTGCTACCCTGGTCGTGCTTCGACTCATCATCTTTCTTCTTCAGAAGATTAAATCAAAGAAACAGAATCAATGAAAACGGAAAAGAAATTCAAGGTTTACAAGAATCTTTGAAAGAAAGCTTTCGAACAAGATTTGTTATGCAACCCGTCTGTACTACGGTGTAGGGTAAGGAGGCGGGGTTTTAATAAAGGGGTACCGCAGCAATACCACGTGCACGAATGGGAGAGAAAGGCGGTAATATGTCATGTATTTCTTGACCTAATGTCTGGACAGCAGTATTTTCCATTTTTGACCCTTCTTAATTGAATACTGTATTCTAGAGAAATGTACAATGACAAGAATAGCCATATTATGTTCTGAACACGAATAGCCGGTCCATGTATGGTCAAACTAACCACGTGCGAAAAAAAAAAAAAAGAACCCAAATCTCTTCATACATAGATATATTTTTGTTTAAGAAAAGTAGTAGTGAAATGAAAATATAATAGGAAACGAGGCGTAAATATCAGAAACTTTTCTTTCTAAGTTAGCGATGGGCATTTTTATGAGGTAGCAACAATACATATTAGAATTCAACTCAACTTGTCAACTTCGTTCTATTTGAGATAAAATTGGTCATGTTCATAATTGAGAATTAAATGATTTTCACTTAAAAATTTTACAACTCAACTAAATTAGAATTTATGAAATCGTCAATAAATTTATCATCTAAAATAAAAAGAATGAAAGTGAAACATTACATTTTAAACAACGGTCACAATTTACAATTAATTCAATGCACAAAAGAATTGAATCAGATCGGGTTATGCTACATGTACTCTATAGATTACACTTTTGTTTACTCAGGCTCACCCTCTCGCTCACATGGGGGTCGGGTCCCAGACTTTTATTGAACGTGGGACCCGACCCCCATGTGAGAGAGGGGATGTGGTCGAGTAAATAAGAGTGTAATTTATAGGGTACAAATAGCATAATTCTTTTCGTTATGCTTGAAAGTGCACAAAAAGATAAATACTAATTTTATGAAAAGGCAATCAGGGTTATTTCAGATAATCTTGACCCAAATATGCATGCACCATAATTGGTCAAAGAAGGACTCGAGGGCAATTTTGGAATCAAGTTCTTAGAGTATCTGGAAAGTCCAAGGATGTTTCTGTTGATTACGTAAACTTTTCTTGGCGGCCAAGTTTTTGAGAGGTTGCGTGAGATCCAAGATCTGGCATATTTAATGGTAATTAAATAAGGACAGTTGCAAATAATAAAAGGAAAGTGGTGAGATGTTTATCAAACCAAAATGACACATTATTCCCTCAATCTTCCAAATTAGCCTTCTTCCATTTTGATAAACATCAGATTTTAGTATCTTTTGATAAAAGTTTATAAAATATATTGTTGAAATATCGCGAGCTCATGAAATGTATTATTAAAATTTACATTTATTTTTACTTAAATTTTAATCCACTTTTTTTAATGGAACCAAACATCGGCTTAAGGTTTTACCCGCCTACAGCAAATTTTAAGGGGAAATTACGTAATTCAGGCATTTGAAGATTGAAATTCAAAAATCAGGGACCAAGTTTCATTATTCAAAAATCATATAATATATTAAAACCCTAACCATAATTTATCACTCTCAACTCTCTCACCTCTCTCTGTTTCGCGCCTTCTCTCCCCTCCCATTCTCTCTCTTTGTAAATCTCCCCTCTACCCACCGTCGACCACTGCTCACCGTCGAAGACCACCACCCACATCAACAATCCATCGCCAAACTCACGGCCACGATCGAGGAAGAAGCACATCAGCTCGATCTGAAATTTTCTCCTTCAAGACCATCGCTTGGAGCACATGTCGCCGGTGCTACTGTAATGAAGAGACGGTGCCGCTGTAATGAAGTGGTAAAGCAGATCCACCGCGATGCAGATCCACCCACTCAGGGGAGTTGCTATAATGAAGAGGAGAAGCAGATCCACCCACTCCGTCAGGCCGACGCCACCGTGGTGTTGTTGTGATGAAGAGGCGAAGCAGAAGCAACATTGTGGTGGGTGGGTTTGAATGGTGTTTTGTGCGGTAGTAGTGATGGTGTTTGTGTGGTGATGATTTTTTAGTGGTGGATATGGCGGTTGGGGGTGGGTTTGGACGATTTTCTGTGTGGTGGTGGTGATGGTGTTTGTTTGGTAATTGTTTTGTGTTGGTGGTGATGGTGTGTGTGTGTGGTGGCTATTTTGTGTTGGTGGTGGTGATGGTGTTTATGTGGTAGCTGTTTTGTGGTGGTGGCGGCAGTGCGATGGAGGTGGCAGTGTCAATTATTTGATTAATTTGTGATCAACTATTTGGTTATCTGTGACTGTGGAAGAATCAGTGACCATTTAATTTGGAAATTTGTGATCGAAGAATAAATTGTGACCATTAAATAATCCACGATCGACTAATTTGAAAATTTGTGACATACGAATAAACTGTGACCTTTAAATTTTTTGATCGGTGACCATTAAATAATCCGTGATCAAATAATTTGATAATATGTGACCAATAAATAAATTGTGACCCATAATTATGTATATGTGACCAATAAATTGTATAAATCCGATTTTATTGTATTTAATTTGAATTTTAAATTTTCAAACTATGAACCTGACTTGTGAATTGGTGTAAACAATATACCCGAGTTATGATTTTTTCCCTTAATATTAAGCCCATGTTTGTTTTTTTTAATTAAAATTTGATTTTAATTTCAAGTCAAAATTAACAATTAATTTTAACTACACATTTTATGGGGATCACAAATTTTCAATTACACATTTCACCAATTTTTATCAAAATCTATTAAAAATTTGATTTTAATCTATAACAAACTGTGGCCAAGTCTCTATTTGAGTCCTTTTTTTTTTTTTTTTGAAAACTTCAAAAGTATATACGAAGTTCCTATAAATCTATTATGATTAGTTATTCGTTAACTAATTTTAATTGCATACACAAATGTGATAGACTTACATAGATAGCCATGGAATATGTTAGGGAGTAAGACATGAGACTTTTTTATGGTAAGTAGGTTCTTAATTGTGCTTGCAAGTTTTGGAATGTGAGAAATATTGTGTGATTGTCACAATTTTACATATAATGATATCTCTATTTTTTCACGTAAATTATTTTGTTCGTATCGTTGTCACTTATTACTTTTTCAACGTTGTTCTTGATATATTTCATATGAGGATCGTAACGATGAATCATGGAAATTTGTCCAAATACTATATATAAATAGATAGCATTACTAGCCGGTATTTGATCCTAGATATTTTCTTGAAGAACATGAAAGGTAACCGAGATTTCTCATTATTGTGAACCGAACAAGGATTATTTTCGTTAGAAATTTTGGTTCGTATTGACAAAAGTGACGTTAAAAAAATGAGAACAAAAATACACTCAACTATTACTCTAATTATTATTTGAAGGAATGCAAAAAACATGTACGAATAATGTCAAAGTTAAAACTAATGTTTTTCCACTTCCCACAACATGTTTTAGCTTTGGAGGGTTGAAAAATACTCATTTTTTTTTTCTCACATTTATAAGAAACATGTCATGATTTTAGGAACCAAAATTAAAGTAAGTTAAAATTTTAATATTAAATCTCGCCAATAACTCAAAGTGAATATATACCTTATTGAAATATTTGATTACAACTTGCAACATCACCATCAACTTATCCCTTGTTTGGGCTGGATTAAAATTAAATTAAAAATCTTAAGTCAAATTCAATAATTAATTTTAACTACACACTTCGTGATACACATAACTTTTCAACCACACATTTTATCAACTTTTATCAAAATCTAATAAAAATATGATTTAGTTCCGAACATTTCAGTTGTTGAGATTTTATTGCATGATTGAATAGGATTTTGCAAACCAGTCAGAGCCCATCACCATCCTCTAACAATTGCCACTTCCCTAGCAAGTTCTCATCCACAAATTCTACGTCCTCCACCTCAAGACATTTTCCAGGTATTGCGGTGAGAGACTTTCACTCTCCTTTGAAATTTTCAGATATTTTTAGAGGAGGTTTATGATATTCTAGAAGTATAATGTGTGTTAATCTAAACGATTATAATAAGTCTCTTCTATATGCTCAATCAAGTTCATGAAAAAAGAAGTCTAGAATGACCCTCATCGAGTAGGGTGGGCCACGTGATACAACATGACTTTCAAATACTATAATTAACATTTTGACAAATACTTCAGAAAGGTCGATACATGATACAATCGAGTTTACAGCGCTAAACAAGGATATAGTCTTGACTAAAATAGCTCAATCAACCTTTATGTCTCTAACTATGCATGGTAATTTTGGAACTGATAGGTTGGAGTAAAAAAACAAATATGCATAGTAATATTTCGAGTTTTTTTCCTTCTTGATTGTAGAAAAAAAATTAGATTGAACTAAACAAGGCATTGAACAAACATTTCGAATTTTTTCTTTCTTGATTATATTCAATAAATGATAAGCAGTAAAAATATATGCAATAAAGTTTGAAATTTATCTAAGAGAAATTGCACTAACAAAACCAAAAAGACAAAAAAAAAACTTGGTTGAGATTATTACCGTAACATCAATTCAAAAAATGTGTAGCAAATTATTTGTACCGGTAACTGTGTTTAAGACTCAAAACTATATGATTGCCAAGCCGAAAGAGAAGAAAGACGGGCATTGCTGGGCTTGCAACCTCAGGATGGGGAGTTCGATTCATGTATGGAGCAGCTGAGTGTTGTAATACTCAATTTGGGTGGAGCAGCTTGGTGATGTAATATCCATGGAGGAAGGCTCCCTTGGGGCCAGGAGTATAAAGGGTGCACAGACCCTGGTCAACGTGGGCATATCCCGCGATTAACCTCCACCCATCACTGAGGGGCCGGGG